AAATACTTTTGGGCCTAACTGTATATAATGTTACATCATGGGATATAATGCACTCCTCTCTAACCAAAGCAATAATCACCACTGGGGGAAATGTGGTTTGGATTTTATTTTTCTAAAATGTCAAAGTCAGCGTGTAAATCTTTCCTTCTATTAGGAAGTAGGAGTCGGTTTTTCTTTGGAGAAGCAGAGTCCAGATCATGAGACAAGCAGCCGAGCAGTCGATGGGACCTCCTGCTGTTGACCAAAGGACTAAATTTGGTTTACAAAGTCCTCGAACTACAGCATTGATTACGTCGCCATCTCCTATAAAGTTATTAAGAACGTCTTGTTCCATAATTCCGACGAATGGCGTTAAAACAAATTTTGATTAGTTGGTGAGCAGAACGGATGACTTCCACATATAGGCTATATGGAAGTAGCCTTCCACATTGCCTATATGTGGAAGGCTACTTTGTTTACATTTGCTGGTTGTATGCCACGGGTGTCAAACTCAGGCCCGTAGGCCAAATCTGGCCCCTGGTGTAATTATTATCAAAGAGCTGCCCGACCATTACATAGCCACTATATACTGGCGGGGTTTGTAGTATTAGCAAGAGAGAGACATGTATGAAACAAATACTACTGTTGTGTGTCTTATTTCAAATTTAATTTCTCATGTGTTTATAATATTGAGCTTTGGTTGTTCCAGATTTACATACTTTTTATATTATTATAATTATGCTTTGATTAGAAAAAAAAATGTTAAAGCTGATGTCAAGCAAAACGGTTAAGAGATGTACACTGCCTGGCCAAAAAAGTCACCACCATAAAAAAAAGTCACACTAATATTTTGTTGGAGCGCCTTCTTGGAATATGCCCGTGCCATCAGGGAAGAAAAAATCCATTGATTGAATAACCTGGTCATTCAATATAATAATAATGCGTTAGACAGTTCTTAACCCAATTTTAGTAGTTTCTGCAATCTCCTTAGATATTTTCTCTGCTTGATGCATGCCAATGATTTGACCCTTCTCAAACAGACTAACATCTTTATCACGGCCACGGGATGTGTCTTTCGACATGGTTGTTTAGGAAATGAGAAGCAACTCATTGCATCAATTGGGGTTAAAAAACTTGTTGCCAGCTGAAGGATAACCCCTCCATGCAGTAATTATCCAATATTATCAATCCTTCTACAGTAGGAGACACCTGCAGGTAAAAAAATTTTTTAGCATCAAGTAACACCTATTAATCACTATAGTTGTGAAAATGTCCAAGTATTGATTTTAGATTGGAAGGAAATTGCGATTTTCCAGATGTCCACTCAAGTGGACTGCATGCATCACTTGCTTTATTTTTACTTCAATACATGCAATTGCTGACAGTATATCACTCTTGACAATGCTTCATCTGAAGTAGTTTTCTTTTGTATAAATCAACATTTTATGCTATTAGAATGTAAGCTGCATTGTATATATCAATATCTGTTTTGTGCATTGTTCATTATGAGTAGGGTTGCAGGTCGCCACCCTAATTATGAGTAACAGTCACAATTCATATTTTACAGGCTAGTGCCGGGCGTGCCAGGCCCAGCGAGGCCTACAGAATTGTGGAGGAACTGCCTTATGACTCAGAAGATTCACAGTACAGTGACAGCAGTGATGAAGAGTGGTTGCCAAGTAAAAAAACTCTAGATCAATGTGAAAGTGCATCTGAGGAGGAAGGACCGGATGTAGAGGATGTGGAGGAGGAAAGCCCAGATGAAATAGCAGTAGAACCTGGTGTGGAAGCACCAACAGGGAGATCTGTTGACACACCAGCACCACCCGCGAAAGCAAAGAAAAAACAACAAAAAAGACACACCTGGAAAGTAAAGGACAGTCCATGTGAGGGAGTGTTACCGGACTTCTTGGGAGAGTGGAGTCTAAATGTTCAAGCAACTGAGCCCCTGGAATTCTTCTTGCACCTCTTCCCAGAAGAACTCATAGATGATATAACATACCACACCAACCTCTATGCCCTCCAGAAGGGAAGGGAGAACCTGAATGCTACAGCAGAAGAAATGAAGGCATTCCTTGGGATAAACTTAGTCATGACCTTCATCCGCTACCCACGGAGACGGATGTATTGGTCATCTGAGCAGGGACTCCGTTTACCTTTGATTGCTGATGCCATGGCAGTGAACCGTTTCGAGGACATTCTCCGATACCTTCACTTTACAGACACCTCCTCAACGGATCCAGGAAACGATAAACTGTTTCGAATAAAACCAGTGCTAGATACTCTTCAAGCAAATTTCCTCTCTGCTGTGGATCCTGAGGAGTTTCAAGCCATAGATGAGATGATCATGCCCTTCAAAGGCAAATTGTCTATCAAGCAATACATCCCCAAAAAACCCAAACCCTGGGGTGTGAAAATTTGGGCAAGAGCAGGCGCTTCAGGATACATGTACCGCTTCGAAGTGTACAGGGGTGCAGCCAGCACAGGTGCGGTCAGCGAACTGGGAACGGCTGCAGACGTCATCTTGCGCCTCTGTGATGACATCCAATTCAAGAACCACAAGGTGTTTTTTGACAACTTCTTTTGCGGCATTCCACTGATTACTATCTTGAAGGAACAGGGCATCTATGGCACTGGCACATGCCGGGTCAACAGGCTTCAGGGGGCACAAGCGAAACTCAAGAGTGCAACAGAACTCAAAGAAGAAGGAAGAGGAGCTATCTCTGTTGTCACCAATGGTGAAGACGTCACTGTCACACGTTGGCTTGACAATTCACTGATCCACAAGGCCTCTTCCTGTCTTGGCAAGCACCCGACAGATGTTGCACAGAGATGGTCCAAGAAAGATAAGAAGATCATCACCATTGACAGGCCATTCGCAGTGAAGGTGTACAACGATTATATGGGAGGGGTCGGCCTGATGGACCAGATGGTGGCAATGTATCCCCACAGACGCAAGAACAAACGCTGGTACATCAGAATGTTCTTCCACTTCCTGGATGTGACCGTTGTGAACGCCTGGCATCTCCTCAGATTCTCTGGATTGGAGCAGGATGGTCTTCTGCCTTTCAAGGCATCTTTGGCTTGTTCATTGATAAATTCAGGCACCGTTCGCAAAAGGGGGAGACCAACTTCCCCACCTCCTCTTCCTGTGAAGCGCAAACCTGTATCCAAGGTAACCCGTGAGGTCAGGCTTGGCCCTGGAAACCACTGGCCCCAGCTAAACGACATAAAAAATGCCCAAAGGTGCCAAGACCCTGCATGCACACGAAAAACGAAGTACAGCTGCATGTGTTGCAATGTGGCTGTGTGCCCTGGGTGCATGGCAAATTTTCACACAAGATCTTGAACTGATCTCTAGTTTGTCAATTGAAGCACTGCAGTTTGTTTGGTTTTGCAATTGAAACACTGTAGTTCATTTTTCAGTGAAAAGGAAAAGCCCAGAATGGTTGTTTGAAGAGAGCAAAATATTTTGAAAAGTATATTTTATTGTTTTTGCATAATTCAATAAACATTGAATGTTATATCACTTGATCTTTGTTGATTTTTTATTATTTTAGTTAAAATCCACAAATGCATGCTGTCCACCTGAGTGGACACGTTCATAACTCCTTGAAAATTTGGTGTATAAAAACAGAAACAAATCAGTTCTTATTTTTATGGCTAAAAACACATAAAAACACTGAGTAACATTTTTTAAAACTCAGTATATCATGGGTCATGCATCAAAGGGTTAATTATGCCTATTATGTATGGAATTTACTATTGCGGGTTCATTTGCATTGATGTGATTAGGTCATGCTTTATTTGGCCCCCCAGGTCCCCGCTTTCCTCCTTAGCCACAGCCCTTCTCTGTCTGCTCTGCCAGTGCCCTGATGGCTTTCCTGCACCCTGCTCCCCTGCATCCCATGTAGTGGAGCAGACGTACAGTTGAGGACCTGAGCGATCCCAAAGAGCAGTCTAAATGTACATGTAAAAACGTTCAGGCACAGAAAAACACATGTTTTGCTGTAGCTTTGATTAGAAAAAAAAATGTTAAAGCTGATGTCAAGCAAAACGGTTAAGAGATGTACACTGCCTGGCCAAAAAAGTCACCACCATAAAAAAAAGTCACACTAATATTTTGTTGGAGCGCCTTCTTGGAATATGCCCGTGCCATCAGGGAAGAAAAAATCCATTGATTGAATAACCTGGTCATTCAATATAATAATAATGCGTTAGACAGTTCTTAACCCAATTTTAGTAGTTTCTGCAATCTCCTTAGATATTTTCTCTGCTTGATGCATGCCAATGATTTGACCCTTCTCAAACAGACTAACATCTTTATCACGGCCACGGGATGTGTCTTTCGACATGGTTGTTTAGGAAATGAGAAGCAACTCATTGCATCAATTGGGGTTAAAAAACTTGTTGCCAGCTGAAGGATAACCCCTCCATGCAGTAATTATCCAATATTATCAATCCTTCTACAGTAGGAGACACCTGCAGGTAAAAAAATTTTTTAGCATCAAGTAACACCTATTAATCACTATAGTTGTGAAAATGTCCAAGTATTGATTTTAGATTGGAAGGAAATTGCGATTTTCCAGATGTCCACTCAAGTGGACTGCATGCATCACTTGCTTTATTTTGACTTCAATACATGCAATTGCTGACAGTATATCACTCTTGACAGTGCTTCATCTGAAGTAGTTTTCTTTTGTATAAATCAACATTTTATGCTATTAGAATGTAAGCTGCATTGTATATATCAATATCTATGTTTTGTGCATTGTTCATTATGAGCAGGGTTGCAGGTCGCCACCCTAATTATGAGTAACAGTCACAATTCATATTTTACAGGCTAGTGCCGGGCGTGCCAGGCCCAGCGAGGCCTACAGAATTGTGGAGGAACTGCCTTATGACTCAGAAGATTCACAGTACAGTGACAGCAGTGATGAAGAGTGGTTGCCAAGTAAAAAAACTCTAGATCAATGTGAAAGTGCATCTGAGGAGGAAGGACCAGATGTAGAGGATGTAGAGGAAGAAAGCCCAGATGAAATAGCAGTAGAACCTGGTGTGGAAGCAGGGAAATCTGTTGACACACCAGCACCACCCGCGAAAGCAAAGAAAAAACAACAAAAAAGACACACCTGGAAAGTAAAGGACAGTCCATGTGAGGGAGTGTTACCGGACTTCTTGGGAGAGTGGAGTCTAAATGTTCAAGCAACTGAGCCCCTGGAATTCTTCTTGCACCTCTTCCCAGAAGAACTCATAGATGATATAACATACCACACCAACCTCTATGCCCTCCAGAAGGGAAGGGAGAACCTGAATGCTACAGCAGAAGAAATGAAGGCATTCCTTGGGATAAACTTAGTCATGACCTTCATCCGCTACCCACGGAGACGGATGTATTGGTCATCTGAGCAGGGACTCCGTTTACCTTTGATTGCTGATGCCATGGCAGTGAACCGTTTCGAGGACATTCTCCGATACCTTCACTTTACAGACACCTCCTCAACGGATCCAGGAAACGATAAACTGTTTCGAATAAAACCAGTGCTAGATACTCTTCAAGCAAATTTCCTCTCTGCTGTGGATCCTGAGGAGTTTCAAGCCATAGATGAGATGATCATGCCCTTCAAAGGCAAATTGTCTATCAAGCAATACATCCCCAAAAAACCCAAACCCTGGGGTGTGAAAATTTGGGCAAGAGCAGGCGCTTCAGGATACATGTACCGCTTCGAAGTGTACAGGGGTGCAGCCAGCACAGGTGCGGTCAGCGAACTGGGAACGGCTGCAGACGTCATCTTGCGCCTCTGTGATGACATCCAATTCAAGAACCACAAGGTGTTTTTTGACAACTTCTTTTGCGGCATTCCACTGATTACTATCTTGAAGGAACAGGGCATCTATGGCACTGGCACATGCCGGGTCAACAGGCTTCAGGGGGCACAAGCGAAACTCAAGAGTGCAACAGAACTCAAAGAAGAAGGAAGAGGAGCTATCTCTGTTGTCACCAATGGTGAAGACGTCACTGTCACACGTTGGCTTGACAATTCACTGATCCACAAGGCCTCTTCCTGTCTTGGCAAGCACCCGACAGATGTTGCACAGAGATGGTCCAAGAAAGATAAGAAGATCATCACCATTGACAGGCCATTCGCAGTGAAGGTGTACAACGATTATATGGGAGGGGTCGGCCTGATGGACCAGATGGTGGCAATGTATCCCCACAGACGCAAGAACAAACGCTGGTACATCAGAATGTTCTTCCACTTCCTGGATGTGACCGTTGTGAACGCCTGGCATCTCCTCAGATTCTCTGGATTGGAGCAGGATGGTCTTCTGCCTTTCAAGGCATCTTTGGCTTGTTCATTGATAAATTCAGGCACCGTTCGCAAAAGGGGGAGACCAACTTCCCCACCTCCTCTTCCTGTGAAGCGCAAACCTGTATCCAAGGTAACCCGTGAGGTCAGGCTTGGCCCTGGAAACCACTGGCCCCAGCTAAACGACATAAAAAATGCCCAAAGGTGCCAAGACCCTGCATGCACACGAAAAACGAAGTACAGCTGCATGTGTTGCAATGTGGCTGTGTGCCCTGGGTGCATGGCAAATTTTCACACAAGATCTTGAACTGATCTCTAGTTTGTCAATTGAAACACTGTAGTTCATTTTTCAGTGAAAAGGAAAAGCCCAGAATGGTTGTTTGAAGAGAGCAAAATATTTTGAAAAGTATATTTTATTGTTTTTGCATAATTCAATAAACATTGAATGTTATATCACTTGATCTTTGTTGATTTTTTATTATTTTAGTTAAAATCCACAAACGCATGCTGTCCACCTGAGTGGACATGTTCATAACTCCTTGAAAGTTTGGTGTATAAAAACAGAACCAAATCAGTTCTTATTTTTATGTATAAAAACACTTAGTAACATTTTTTAAACTCAGTATATCATGGGTCATGCATCAAAGGGATATTATTATGTATAAATATGTATTTATATTTATATATTTTTTAATATATTACATATATATATATGCAAAACTAAAGTTTGTTTCCATATGAACAAATTCTACATTACACACTGTATCTGGGGAGAGAATTTGACACCCCGTTGTACACCATACGTTGAATTGTGCCACCTTTTTTTCTGTTTTGTTTCTGTTGGGTTTTAGTTTCCAAGTGTCGGTCAGACTCTGCTGATGTTTTGTTTTGTCCCAAATTAAGACGTACCTACTGTGTTAGCGTAGATGAAAAAAGCAACAGATTAGATGTGTTCTTCACATTACATCAGTACAAAAATATTTAACCATTAATCCGTTGAATTAGCAGTGCAGCCAAACTATAGGAATTTCAGCAACAGAGATAATATATATATATATTACACATGTAAATACATACATATGAATGTACATGTAAAATATACACGTGCATTCATACTTACATGTACATACATATATGTAAATATATATTTATATATATACTGTATATATGTATATATTTTACACATGTAAAGACATACATATGAAGGTACATGTAAAGTTCACACATGTACTTCATACTTACATATACATATATGTATATATGTGTGTATATATATACATATACATATACATATACATATACATATATTCTCAATATATTGTAGCCCGGTTATTTGAAAAACAGTTCCCATGCCAAAAAAGTGTGGACACGCCCCATAAAGACCACGTATCTGTCTGCCAGATCACCCATCCCCCTCTACCCCCCTTTAAATGTAATAATCCTAACACTGACGTAATAATCTTCAGTGCCCTGGACCTGTTTCATAGCTGACCTGTATTGTTCGGCTGCTACATCACAACAGTCAAGTCTTGACAAAAGCATATTTTCTCTTGGTCAGTGGTAAAAGAGTAAAAGTTAACTGAAAGAGAACAAAAGAAAAAAAATGAAGTGACGGAGGCCTGACAGTGGCAGCAGAAGACGCTGGTGTGACAGACACAAGGGGTGACAACAGCAGCAAACAACTTCTTGTAAAGGCAAGGCAGAGAAGAAATGTAAACCAGTTTCTTCACACTGAGTTGCAGAGGAAACAAAATGTGTTGACGTGAAAACAAAGAGAATAGCACAGGCTGTGTTGACTAAACAGAGCTAAAGTATCACAGTGGCAACAGGTTCTTAAAAAAAGCATTTGTTGACATAGGATTAAAGTCACAAACAAATAAAAAAACAACAAAACTACTTTTTTTCTTTATCGGGAAAAACAAAATCAGATGATGATAGATCAAAGTGTTAAACCTCCCCAATGGGGGCGCCTTTGTCCCCACAGTGAAAGATGAGACAAAAGAAAGGCAGGTGGCAAGTTAAATAAATGAAATATAATCAGAAAACCTTAAAATGTTAAAATTCAGTTTCAAAGCATTGATTTTCCAAAAGAGGAAATTATTTTCGCACTTGGTAATAAAAACATTTTGCAACGTTTCTATCCATCTATGAATTGAAATGATGAATATTCATTAAATTCTAACTTCCTCCTTTGTTCTTCAGTTAATTAATAGTTATTATTCTTGGTGCCTACTTCATAGTTAGTTAGTGAAAGTAGTTATTCTAGAATTGTTAAACCTTTAGCAGTTTGGCATGGATTGAAGAACTGGACTGTGCGATGTTTGCTCATAATGCTAACTGTTGTTAAACTTGTTTAAATTATTTAGTTTTCGTCTTTGAGATTTTCCTCAAGAAAGTCATCCGATGCCTGTGTTGGTGCCGGTGTCACTGCGTTGTGTCGTACTCATTTGGAAATCAGATAAACAAGTAGCTACTACAGTAAACCAGCCACTAGGGTACACGAATCAGTGTTTTATAGTGCCAGTCCCAAGCCCAGATAAATGGTGAGGGTTGGGTCAGGAAGGGCATCCGGTGTAAAACCTTTGCCAAATCAAAGAATGAGAATTAAATCGTTTTCCATACCGGATCGGTCGGGGCCCGGGTCAAAAACGGCCAAGGCCAAACAAAAGGCATATGAGGAGTTGCATGAGAGTTTGGACACAAACGAAGGAGAAAAGTATTTTAATCTCAGAGTCCTGGCCTGTGAGGAACAATGATGATGATGTCTGTCTATGTGTGTGTGTGTGTGTGTGCAGCCTGCTGTCCTCATGTAATGCTCTGATTTTGGTTCCATTATGTGGTCAGCGGGGGCATTTTGGTGAGAATGGTCCTGCTGACCACACCTAGCCCAGTGGGTGATCTCAGAAACAATTTGCAGAAACCACCATCTTCAGAGCACCATTGTTTGAAAAGGCACAGCTGGGTCCAACAGAGGCCTGTTTTATTGATTTCCTTATTTGAGATCATTTCTCTTGTTGACCATCAGTAATGAGGACACTGAGCTCCAGGTCCTTAACTACCAAAGCCCAGCTGGAGATTGTGGTTCACTGACTTTGTTTAGAGAAACATGCAGTTGTTTTTTTTTTACAACTCAGAAACAGGCTTCTATTGTGTTTTAATAACCTGAGTGCACAGACACGTTTTCAAGTGCACAGTGGCACTGCTACAAAGATTTCACAAATTACATTAGCAGTGGGATTTCTAGCTGAAAACAACAATTCCAGGATACAGGAAAACATGTTTTTTTCCTCTTGCATCATTTAGTAGACATGTTTGTTTTGGAAGGTTTGCTGATACCTAACTCTCTCAACACCTGCCACGTCATGAAATGAATGAGAAAGCCAAGCAAAAATTAGAAAGCTGTGGAGTGGCTAGTGAACGCCGCATGGAGTAGTCGTGTTTTTTAGAGGCTTCTCCACACACTCACGAAATTCCCTCAAAAACAACACAATATGATAAGCAGTGCTACCAGAAACAAAACCAAGGAGAAATGGCCGCACTCGATCGCAAACCTGAAGAAAAATGGAAACAGCTCACACGATGGAAATAACCGGAGACGTTAGCACCGAGCTTAGGACGACTAGCGGCCCCGGCTCCGCTACTAATCTCACGAAAACTTCAACTCCACAACCGACGCAGTCTAGCGTCCTGGCTGCCATCGGGAAACTAGACGAAGATATGAATATCAGATTTAATACGCTTGACTCTAATTTCCTACAACTCCAGACCTCCCTCGCATACCATACAACACGCATCTCTGACTTGGAGGGCTTCACATCCGACGAATCTCACATCGCAGCCCTTGAGTAGAGTAGAGTAGTAGAGTAGGGCTTTATTCATC